GGAGACGTAGCTGCGAGAATATGCAACACCAAATTTTTGAATCGAGACACACCGAATGATGACATATTTACAAAAGTGGGAATGAATTTATTGACCGAATGCTATACAGCGAATCATAACGTGCCAAATGAAACCCTACTTTCACTGCTTTGTGAGATGAAAGAAGGATATAACAACGTTCCTTATCATAACTGTATTCATGCGGCCATGGTATGATAGGAGCCTTTTTCGGGAGGGTTCCTTCACAATGGGGTGGTGGTCAATATTTCGTTTCTTTAGAGAGATGAACTTTTATACGAGGGAACATTTTCACTACGCTCACTTGCCTATGCGTACCTCTCTATGGAGGAGAAAATTATGAGGTGCTACCCTTCCTCCCCTCTTCTCTGTTTGCTTATTTTGTCCTTTCAACGCTTTTCTCGCCCACTCTTCCCCTTCTACGCCCCACCGCAGGTAACAGAACAGTGCAATATCCTCGTGAACAACCTAGACACAGTGAATATTCTGCGAGATAACGAAATGGCTGCCTTCCTGTTGGCCGCCTTAGGGCACGACATTGGGCACTTTGGGAGAACAAATCTCTTTCTTAAAAATGCGAGCAATTTTTTAAGCGTAATATATAACGATAAGTCCATCTTGGAGAACTATCACTGCTCCTATTTATTTTACATTCTGTTTAAGGAACAGAATAACATTTTCAAAAATGAAAGTCCCAAAACTGTGCTCAACTTGAGGCAAGAAATTATACAAGTAATCCTCGCAACGGATATGAGCAAGCATATAAAAATTTTGGCTCAATTTCGTATTAAGTCCATTAAAATTAGGTCATACATAGAAAAGAATATTATCCTATGTTTGAAGATGATTATAAAGGCTGCTGATTTGTCTCACAATTGTGTTGACTGGAGTGAACATTATTTGTGGGTCAAAAGATTAGTAAATGAATTCTACTACGAAGGAGATGAACAGCTGGAAAAAGGCTATCAAATTAATCCTCTCTTTGATCGAAATTCGCATGATAATTTTATAAAAATCCAAAGAACTTTCTTAAAAGAATTAGTTTTCCCTTTAATTACTTCTCTGAAAACTCTGGACAGAACTTCCATCACACAATTTATGATGGATAAGGTTAAACGGAATTATTCCAAGTGGAAAAAAATTGAAAAAAACCCTTCCAAAAAAAAAAAATACCTAAACGAATTGATAAATAATGTTCCAGATTCGTGGAAAAAGTTGTACCATCCAAATTTAGACATTTACCAGTTGCAGAAATGTAAGTGAAGCGGTTCCTACATTCCACCTTTTTTTTATTTTTCTGTTTTTCCTATATATGTGCGAAAGTGGTCAATGTGGGGGGAGGGAATTTTAACCTTGTTGTTTCACGCACACTGACATTACACCGTTTGTTTGTATCACTTCTCATAATGTTTTAATTTTTAGTTGTTTCTTTTTCATTTTATAGAAGCCATCAGCCATCTTGATGCTTCTCTTTTTAGTTTGGGCCTTCAAAACGGAAAAGGCCGCTCCTTTTTTTGGTAAAATGTAACCTGGTGCGTTTGTCCATATGTATACACACACATAGGTGGAGGAAACACACGAGTATGTGGTCTCCTACCTGTTCAGTTTTAATTTGTCAAAAAGGAAAACATGGATACCTGCGGTGCAGTTATTCTGTTCGAAGTTGACTTATTTCGTTTTTTAAATATACTGGTACGGTGTGCAGATCGGTAGAAATATATTTGTACTATCTCTTGTGCATCCTTTTCCTGCAGTATGGGGATGTTTCCGGACGGCTTAAAACGTTTTCCCGTTTCGCTTATCCCTCCCCCTTACCCAAGAAAAGCCTTTAAAATGGTGACAACGAGGTAAGCATTGTCTAACGCTGGATTGTTAAAAATCTATGGTTGTGTCTCTGAATTGCCACTAATTTTAGAGCATACATGTAGCAATCACTGTGTTGACATGTTTAACAAAATTGGCTACAGGCTTGGGGAGCACATTTCCACTACGTTGGGCAGAACTAAATTCGCTATATTCCAGTTGTGCCGCGCGTGCATATGTACATATGGACCATACGTACCTCCTTAAGGGATGCCCTCATGCTGGTAAAAATTGCACTACATTTTGAAGCGCAAAAAAAAAATTATGTAACTTTACGGGGGTGATTTATGCCATTTTAAACGATTTGAAGAATGTGACCTTAATGTACATGTTATAAAATTGTTTAATCGTTGTATGGGAAGACTGTAACTGGAGGGGCCGAATGAAACCTTCAGCACAAACGAGTTCATCTGGAATAACAACAAAAACTTCATTCACCCGCATAGGCACGTGTCATCCCCGTATGCATGTATTTATATACGGGTGATGTACAAAAATTGATGTATACATTTTTGCAAACATTTATGTAACCGGGAAACACCATGTGAATTTTCTCTTCCCTTCGGCTTCTATTTCTTTTGCCTAAGACTCATCATTTTTGTTTAAAAATTCGCAATGCTTCACTATTAGGAAAAAAAAAAAAAAAAAAAAGAGCCAGAGAAAGTAGAATTCCATTCAGATTTATTTTTCCCTCAGTAAAAATCCTCACGTTTGTGATTTTTTTTTTTTTTTTTTTTGTAAAACAAAATATTTCGAATTTTTCCTTGTTACTTTTCTCCGCGCGTTGTTTATTTCGTGATACTTCGTTGTACTTTATTTTATCCTATTTTACCTTTTGTTAACGTCTCCGTTTTTTTCACTTTGGCCGATTTGCATGTATACATTTGTTGTACGCACGGATATATAACATGTCACCTGTGACCCATGACGCATGCCCGCTTGCTCGCCAATGAAATAAAGCCTGTTTCATTTCCCCACAAGCGCATCGCGTGCAGCTTGCCCTTCCACATAGCTATATATCACTTCTCATTTGAAAATAAAAGCTCTCATATGGCTAAGAGGCAGAAATTGAAGATTACCATTTTGCCTATATTTTTTTTTGTAATATTCACCGGGATTCACGTTGTTTTTACCGCCTTTGACAGGAATGACTGTTAGTTAAATGAACTGAGCAAGGGGCGTCGTGTGCATTGCATCATGGGGTATACCACGACTCGTGTCTGTACATATGAATGGTCTCATTTTTACCGTGTCAGTTTTGTAGACCACATTCTGGTTGTGTAAAGGGGGCCTCCATGTTCAATGCATGTCTAGTTTTATTTTAAGAAAAATGGCGTTCCGCTGAGGTCCACTGTGCCGTTTTCATTTATGGGGGTGCGCTTGTTTATTGACGCGAGGGGACGCACACTTGTCCGCTATGCAATCATCCCATCTGCGGATGAAGCTTCGCCCACATCGTGTACCCCACATTTTTTTCTTTTTTTTTCCGTTTCCCCTTAGGGCTACAGTTTTACACGAGCTGCTTCGGCACAGGGCAGGTAAAATGGGAGCTGCTGGGAGTCCTAACCATTTTGAACAGCCTGATTTTATTGCTAAATGTGAACTACAAGGAAAATATAAACCATTTGAATAACAAGAAGAGCGAAACGAGTGACATAAATGACGATTTGATAAATGTTGACATGAACGAGTTTAGTAACAATGAGAAAGACGAAAGCAGCGATGAAAGTGAAAGAGAGAAGAAGTACAACAAGATAAAAATAAGGTACCTATACAGCATTAGCAATTCCAGAGTCTGTTATTACAGCATGTGGATCCTATGCTACTACCTGATCTATTTTTTATGCTTCCTCAGTTTTTTATATGGCATTAGACTATTCAACAACAATTTAATTAATATATATGCCATCAGGACATGCAAAATTGAAAATTTAGAAAATTATATTTTATCTGAAAACACGTTCATAAGCCTATACTGGGCCATTATCAACTTTAACGTTTTTATGAGTAAGTACACGGACTCCTTCTACATTTCAAATTATCTCAAATGGAACATAGAATTTAGCACAGGGAAGAAAAAGCTTTTTTTTTTCTTAAATTATTTTTTTCAAATATTGCTAATAAGTTATACGATTTACAAAAATGTGTCCCTGTATAATAAGGGTCTGTACAATTTGAACCAAATTGTGTGTGCCCTCATCTTTCTTTGTCTAATCCTGTACACTATTCTAGAAATCACCTATGTGTTAGAAATAAATAAGCCCTGCTACTATGGTGTTACGAAGTTGTCCTACAACTACATTTGGGCCATCATTTACCTATTTGTGATTTTCATTTCCTCCGTCATTTTTTACTTTTCTGTTTTTAGTTATTCCATCAAAGACCAGTTTGTGAATTTTCAAATCATGCTCTGGTTTTTTTTTATTTCCCTAACTTATATAAAAAGGAACCAGTTGTTTATAAAAGTTTGAATTTTGCTTTTCTTTGGAATTTTCGGGAGGTCACATGTGGGCCATCTTCCCTTCCGAATGGGGGCGCTGTATAAGATGCACGTTTAAAGGGATAGAATCTGCACAAATGCAAGTGAGACAAAAAGTGATTTTTTTTTTTTTTCTTTCAAAAGTACCCACCGCGTGCGCACGCATCCTCACGTATAAGCGAGCGTAATGAGCGACTGATGCGCAAAAATTTATAAGGCATTTGGTGATGGTAAAGGAGGAGCGTTCGTTCGATTTCTTCCCTTAACGCGATCCATGAGCGTGGGCCCATATATGCTCCTATGCGATAATTCGCGATTTATTTTGTGCACCTGCGCACAAATGGACGTACATCTGCCGCAGATGCGCAGGTATTCACTTAAATGCGCAAAACCGTTCGTCTCGCAAAAGGTGAAGATGTTTCTCAAAACACAATCGCAACAACGAGGAGGAAAAAATGTGTAACCGGTCCAACTTCCCAAAAGTGGTATCTCGGTATGCCATAGTAAACATCACCAGGATTGTACATCACCATAAGTGATCAACGTTCATGCTAAACAGGTGAAGACACATATGTGTACACAAGTTCATCGAATCAGTTTCCGCCTCACCAGTAGGAAAACGTAAAAAAAAAAAAAAAAAATGGACAACCCACCTGACGTCGAATCAGCCTTCCTAATTTACAATTTTGAAACCAGTCAAAATCGAAATGCTGAAAAATCGAACATTATAAAGCAGTTTAACAATAAAATTAAGCGAAATGAACAGGTCCTACTAAACAGCCACTACCAACATGTGAATAATTTTTCCTACTCTACAGATATATTTCACAATTTTTATAAAATAACAGAATATTATTTTTTAAAATATGTTAACAGTATTATTATTGATTCTACCCTACTTTTTAAATGCATTCACCAGGTAAAAGGTGGCTCCTCTGGTTTGGCTCAAAATGGCCAGGAGAGGTTACAAAAGCGTTTTTGCCCAAGTGAGGAAGCTGAGGGGGGGAACAAACTGGTGGCGAATTTGGAAACGAACAATGAAGTGGCAGCTGACTTTACCTTCGATTGTGTAATTCTGCGCAACTTTATAGAAAATTTCAAAAGGCTGAACAATTCAAGTGTGCGAGCTGCCAAATCGGGTGGAAAGGAGACCAGAAAAAAGGGGTCGCAAAAAAAAGACGTTAGTGAAGATTCGGACGGGAGAAGCACCACCAAAAATGCAGAAACCAACCCTAGAGGTGGCACAGAGGAACCTCAAAACTGGGCGTTTAGAAAGTCCTTCTTGTACGAACTGTGCGAAGTGTACAGCCGCTTCCATAACAAGAAAAACAGAATGATATGTATTACCAAAATTTTCCGAAAAATTGTTAGCAGGAAGCAAATTAGACAATTCATATGCGAAAATGATAAGAGGAAAAAAAAAAATTACCTACGATTTTTTCTAAATTTATCTTTAGGTATTTTTATATACCTCTACATGCACAGGTACATCAAAAAGAACTACAAAAATGTAGATTTCTTTATATTTTTGAATACCCCCCAAAATGTTCAGGATATATATGTCAACATGGTACCCCACATGGAAAAGCAACAAATTTGTAGCTTCGTGAAGTTCGTAAAATCTCTAAACATGCGGATGTTTCAATACGTGTATATAAGGTTCTTTGTGAACATATACAAGCACGTTAACTTAATATACAGCGTCACTCTTTTGGCGCTATACAACTATTTTAAATACTTAAATGAGGGCATGAAGGGGGGAAAGGAGTCACTCTCACTGGAAAGGGAAGAACAAATGGAGCAGGGAAACCACCTGATGGGGGTCCCCCCGCACATACGCGCCAGTGACACAACATTGGAGGGAAGCAACCACAGCTGTGAAAAAAGAGAACCGAGTGAAACCGTAACGAAAGAGGATAACGAGGCTAATTCGATCAAAAAAACCATGCAAAACTACCAAAACGGATTGAAAACAGACGTAGACACAGAAAGCGCTGCACCAAATATACACCAAAACTGTGAACGGGTGAATAGCCCAATCGGTGAAAAGTCTCAAAGCAGACTGAACAACAGAAGGGAAGCGGAAGATACGTCAACTTGGAATGGAAGACAACACTGCAACCCGGGCACCTCTAACTGCAGCGATAAACATACCCACGAAATCGTCCTCAGCTGTTACGTTTACCTTTTCATATTTTACCACTACATAGGAGACACAAGAAAAAGGATGAAGTCAGAAATTCTAAGGATACAAAATGATGTTAAAAAAATGATTTCCTTATTTGCTAAAATATATAACATAAATAAAAAAGGCAGGGACGGTGAGAACGGGCCCATCGGTCAGTGCAGCAAGGACGAGACAATCGATTTTCGCAGAACTCTAGCAATCAGCGGCGCCACCACCAACAGCGGAACGACCGATCCCATTTCCGATCCTGTACATTCCCTATATTTTAACTTCATACAGATGAGCAAATGCTACAGAAGCTGCGTAAAAACGAATTATGAACTCATCAAATCGGTTCACATATTCCATTTATTATTAAAACATTTTTACAAATACTTCCCCATTTTGAATGTAAAAAATGATAAGTGCATCATATACAATTATTACAACAAGAATTTTATACATTACGCCAAAAAGGTTGAGAAAAATGGACGCGTCGAAAATGTATTTTGTACGGAAGAAAAAAATAGACAGAGGGGAAGTGGGAACCCCCCTTTGGACGTCTTTAAGAATGTGAATGATTACGAGTTGGATTTTTTTTACTTCCATGAAAGGAAGAACGGCGAAGAGGAAATAATCAAAGATTTAGTGCAGAGCAGGGAAGAGGAATCTTTTGACCATTTATTTCGAGCCGGTGAAGGGAACAAGGTTTCGTCTACCCAATTTTCTCGGGCCTGGGCGGGAGGGCATCCCGTAAGCGAAGGCAAAAATGAGCTCAAAAATGAAGAGCAAAACGATGAGGCAGACGCGCCGGTGCCCTCGAAGAAATTATTCCTAAGCTGCGTTAACAATGGGCTGGATGTTCTTCTCCTCAACGCTGCCGCGGAATTGGGGGGCACTCCGGGGAAAACGCAACAAGACGGATACACCTCAATAGTAAACAACTCAGGTAGTGGTAATATTTGCGATTCGGAGGCTTCTCACAACCGAGCCAATTTTGCGACCCTCAGAAGGAGCCCCATACGGCAGCTTCTAAGAAGTAATATAAAATTTTACCGCAAGATAGCCGCGGTGATGGAAACCTTCTCCAGCAGCAAATTGGAAGGAACATTAAAAAATTGTCTACATGACTTGAACAGATATAATGAGATCGCTCTGGACATCTACGACGATAGCATTTTCGACATTCAGTACAAAATTGAAAGAGAGTCCAGGCTCGAGAGTGAAGAGTCAATAAGAAACAAAAAGCTATTACAAGTGAAAATCTTTTTGGATTATGAAAAACTGTATACGAAAAAAACAGTTGAGACGCAAACACCTATTTCTTTTTTTAGAAAAGAAAAGGTCATTCAAATTCCAAAGGATGAAGGAGTTTCCACAACATCGGAGCAGTACATACAGTCGAAAAGGGTGGCGAATCCTATTTTTTATTTGAAAGATATATACGATTAAATTGGGCTCCTGTCCAAGAGTGCCTGAGGGAAGGGGGGAAGATATTCAACCCCGCTCCAAGCACAATTCGATTATCACCAATTAACAATGACAGTATTATATAATTCCCCGCTTATCCTACGCGCACATTTTACTGCTCGTTTTTGTGCACTGGGGAAATAACTTCTGCCGCGTCATACGCAATAAGCATTTGACCCTATGCAGCATGTACATCTGCAAGTACTCTTAAGAGAATCCATTTTCCTTTTAAACCCTTATACCTGTGCCAGTTTGAACCATTTCACGCACCCCCTTCTTCATCAATTATTCTTGTGATCCATCCGGCAATTTCTTTTTCCCTCCATTTGTAATATCGGAAAAAATTTGGTGTCATATTCCTACATTCGCATATATACAGAAATATGTAAAAAAAAAAAGAAAAGAAATATTCACCAAGTTTACTTCCTTTTGTATACATCCTCAGATGATTACATAAAGCGACACATTTGTGCCCTCCTTTTGGTATCTCCATTTTTTTCTTTACTTTACACCCCTGTTGTAATTTGTGCAAAAACATGGATTCACGAACATGCGGGGGGGGAAGAGAAAAAGAAACCTCCCATGTGAGAGCATGATACAAATGACAAAATTATTCTCTTTGTTAAAATGCTGAAAAAGGTTTTTGCGAAAGGAAAATGCTGCAAGAGATTTCTACGACTGGACGAGCGGCATATTCATAACAGCCACTTGAACAAGTCGCTGAAAAACAGATATAACGAAAGGGTGAGAGATAAGTACCTTGATAACATTTACAACAATGAAATTAACGTTAGCACGATAAGTAGAAACATAAAAAACAAGAAGGTTGACTACTTGAGACAGCTGATTTATGATGAGGCCGAAGGTGATGAGTATCTGCTGGACGGGACAATTTTGGAGGAAATAAAAAGGAAAAAAGGGAAAGGAACCACACATGACAGAAACAGCAGCAGCAATAGAAGCAGCAATAGCAGGATCAACAGCAGCGATAGCAGTAGCGGGGGGGCTGGTGGAGGTGCGTGCGGCCCGCCCGAGCAGGGCAAGGCAGAAATGAGCGAATCCAAGTACAAGCAGGCGATAAGAATGTACAATTTGTTGAAGTTAACGAACAAAGCCAACATTTTCGATGAGGATGTTTTTATGAACATAGATAGCAAAATTAATCACGACGTTTATCAATTTTCCCAAAAAAATATCCTACACGATGGTGGCAATCAAGTGGAAGGCTCGGAAACCACTAAGAGAAGGAGTTTTATAGATGGGCAAATTGTGGACAACCAGAACAGAAATTTATCCTCCGCCCTACCCATGGAAAACAAGATAAACACCTCGACCGATGACCATCCCGGCAGTGAGGCCAACCTAGACGATAGCAATTTTATGAGTATTACCAAAATGAACCTCCCCATATTCAACCCATCTAGCTTTTGTCTAGCCATAGAAACATTAACGAACCATATATGTGACGATTTAATTTCCCTATTTGGGGAGCTTATGGAAGAAAAAAAGCTACCTAAAAGAGACGAAAATGATAGACTATACAAATTTATGAACTCCTTATGTGAGTTTTTTTCCCTCGAAAAGAGAGAAACTGATGTAGATAGATGGATGGACGAGGTATACAAGAAAATAAAACCTAAATTGCCATCCGCCTTTCGCAGTATGAAATACGAGTATGTCCAGAACTGGATCAAAGAACACATTAGGCGAGTCCTAGCGAATGAAAAACGAAACAATCAAATGCTCTATAAAGAGAAATATTACAATCTGGGTACCGATTTTGCTTATGATAACTTACCCATGAAGGAAAACAGCGGGGGGGATGATCATAAAGCAGAATTTTCCACCGAAAAACTAACATACTATTTTAAAAGCATCGTTGAATTTTTCCTGGAGAAAAAAGTCGACTCCAATTTGGAAGAACAATTAAATATGATGTTTTTAAACTTAAAAAAAATCGGACTGGATAACTGGCTCAAAATGGACGTAAAAGATTTTGAGAAATATCTCCTCAGAAATAACAACTCCAACTTTCTGCAAATAACAGAGAAAGACAAGTACGTTTCGTACTTAATGTTAAAATGTGCGAGTCGAAACATTACGGACTTTTTTTTTTACGAAGAATTTTCTCCTTTTCATCTTTTTAATGAGAAACCAAAATTTTCCATTGAGGAAAAAATAAACTCTTTGCAGCCGAATAAACACATACCAGACGATGAGTTAAAAAAAATGATTTTCTCAAACGAGTCTGCTGTAACGATCGTAAGTAAAAAGGACTCTGGCGATGGTCATCACGACATGGACATAGATCTGTTTCTTGAAAAGGAAAAAAAGTACAATATGAACAGATCCTTAATTACCTACACTTTTGACGAAAGCACTGATTCGTACACTTACAAGTATAAGCAAATTCCAAACACTATTTACGACCATAATACGAATAAGTATATAAGGGAAAAGGAAACTATTGACCCCATGCTAAAACTAAACGAAATGAGGTCCTCCATTTTGGAAGTTAAACGCATGATGAGCATGACAAAAGGTTCGCAAATTTTCGCGTGAGATGTGCATTCATGGGGGCAGCTCATGCTGCACCGAATTTGTCCTTTTTTTTTTCCTTTTTTTGTGTAAAAATGTTGCCAGCACCCGCGAAACGGTGTTAGATATTTGCTTCTGTATTTTTCACCCCTCGCAGATGGACGCGTGTACTACATAAGAATCATCATCGTGATCGGGAACGGCAAGGGCGTGTACGGCTACGGTGTCGGTTTCGGAAAAAACATTAAGGAAGCGAGAAACAGCGCCCTGCTGAATTCGATCAGTAACCTAGATTTTATAGACTACAATTATAAGAATTGCGTTTTAAATTTTCCAGTCAGTGGGCAAGAATATTCTTCCCATGTTAAAATAATTCCTAGACCGCTCGGCAGAGGATTGAAAATCAACAGAAAGTACCTCCCGTTAGGCTACATACTGGGGTTGGACAATGTCAAGATCTCCTTCAGTGGCAGTAACAAATGGATGAGTAGAATTAAGGCACTGAAGAGATGCCTTAACAAAATTGTATCTATTAAGACGCTATGCAAAATGACGGGGAAAAAATACGTATGCCATTTTGCACCTCATTATTGTACCAGTCACTGGCCAGACTACTGGTTTAAGAATATTTTAAAAGAATACAAATATAAGATTCAAAGAATCCAGAAAAAGAGAGCAATGGTATGCAGAAAGAATTTCCGATCCAACATTTCCAAAATACCTGAGGAGGTCCGGCCCGACTTCACCCCCTACACGTGGAAGACGCCCATACAGAAGCATGTCGAGTCGCAGAAGATGAAGAAGTACATCGATAACAACGTCTACCACGTCAACGTCTTTTGAGTGAGAATGAACGTGTGTGCATATACACATCTATACATTTATATGTATACATTCGCTCAAGAGCAATGCAAATTCCTCTACCTTCGCAAAGGAGCCAGGCTTCCAATTTTTTGAATGGGCCAATTTGGACAGCGGCTAAACGGAGCCTTCCCCTATCATACCTCTATTTCTGTGTAAACGTGGATATTATTTGTGTACCTCTTTATATCCTAATGGAAACCACCATTTAGCATTCGAATTTGCTCATACCGTAGCAATTTATTCCCCTCCCCCTTGTATTTCCTCAACACCATCTACCAATTATGTTGCTATATTACCTTTTTCTAATTTTTTTTTAATCTACATTTTTGATCAGTTTTATAAACAAAAAAAAAAATAAAAGAATCAGTAAAATGAAAAATACGCACATGGGGGTACACATGGGGGTATACACGGGGAGATACACACGGGGCCATACACACAGGGGCATGTGCACAGCTGTATAAATGAATCTCCCGAGTTTGTGGTGGGGCACCTTTTTTGCTTTTTATTACAAATTAAAACATTTTTAAAATGTGATAGAATGGGGCAATAAATATTTACAACTCTTAATTCAAAATACAAACAACAAAGGAAAACAAAAAAAGGACCCTCTTCTATTACGTTTTTGTTACGCTTTTGTTACGTTTTTCTTTTCCTGTCTTTTTTGCTTTAATAAACATGTCAGTGTTCCTTATTTATTATTAACTGTTTATCTTCGAATATTTTCGGAGTGCTAATATTCATTAAAGTGTAAAATCCGATGAAGAGGAAAGAAAATATTAAGAAGATGACTATCAATTGGGATAGGATCCTCTGTAAAAAGGAGGGGGCAGGGGAAGAAAAGGACGAATGAGAAGCAGGGTCAGGCAACGGGCGGCATTACACAGGCAGACATTAGTGCGTACAGTTAGATATTTCTATATAGGCATATACAGATGGCACTATCTTTCTCTGTTTACACTTACCGGGCTCGTGTGGAAGACATTTCTATTTTGCTTTGCATCTTCTGGGTTGTCAAAAATGTCGGCTTCCTGGCAGGTTATAATGTAGCTTATATATTTCGGGTGCTTCTGGTAAATGACTCCTATGATATCTGTGCAGAAAAGGGGAGAATCGGTCAGCGTACTATAATTTTCGTCGGACTGAAATGGGTAAGCACAACTATATACATATACATATGTATGCATATGCTTATTCCCAAGAGGCACACATTTCTGTAGCAAGCTCTGCTGCTTGTTCAAACTTGTTACCTGCTTGCCCGTTAACTGTGTACACGTATATGGAAAAATTATTCGTCTACAGGGGGGGAGGGAGAAAGGGGGTGTTACATACGCAAAAATGAATGGACGATTCTGAATCCTCCATCTTGACAAAGAGTTTTCTCTTTAAAGGTTTCAATTTATCCTCATTTGTTTGTTTTTTTTTTTTGCATGATCCGGAAAATTTACACACGTAATAAATTTACGTGGACGCGTTTAATCTGTCCTCTCATATGTTATCATTTCTTCGTTAAAAGAAACATCGTTGCAGGCACAACACCGTTGTGCACAGCAATGGGGGAATAAACTCGACGCGAACGGTGGTTGCTTACGTCCTTCGATTTGGTATATTCCAGGGTTTCCTGCTCGCCTGTAGGAAAAAAATAAATAAATAAAATTATGATCATTATCGTCATCGCGGCATAATTTATCATGACAACGTGCGGGCTGCACCCCTTTTGGGCTGTTCACCTGCGTACCTAAATATTTGAGATTCCTTCCCCTGATCAGATCCTTAACGTATGCGCAGGTTCCATCTATGGTAACTTTGGATTTCTGTAAAACGGGCGTTACAAGGAAATTATAACATAAACTAACCGAGCCCAGGCAAGTAAAACCATAAGAGGATGACGCGCAGATCAAAAAAAGTATGCACATATATGCGTTCATACATAAAAACGTGCCTAAAGGCGCATGTCAAATTACTCATTTTAGCTTATTACATTGTAAATATCTGCATATGTTGTTGTTATATCGGTGTTCTTCGTCTGCACAGGTGGGAAAAAACGCGTGACGATTAGCTGCTAAAAAAATAGTTTTTTGGGGAGGGGAGGACACACTTGGTTGTTCCTTACTTTTGTGTCTAAAAATATGTTAAAAACTTTCTGAAATGGGGAAAAGGGAAGGAAGAAAAGCGTGAAGGATGGAAAAGTGTGTAAATATACCTATTATCCCCACTATCCATTTCGCATACATTACGTAGGTAATGTACGAGGGTGAATGTAATCGCTCATATAGTTTTTTCCTACATCGGAGAGGTTTAAAACGGTCTCCTTGTCAAAGCTTTGGATAACGTCATTAGAGCTGTAAAAGGGGTAGGGGAAGAGGAATTGGACACGCAAATGGTTATGCATGGTTCTTACGTATATGTATTTAGGCTGGTACGGCGTGGGGCAACACTCCTATTTTCCCAGTTAATTATGTGAATAAAGGGTGAGCAAACTGCGTGCAAATGAATGTGCCCTTGTCGACGGCGCCCCTTTGGTGTACTAATGAAGGGCATTCAAAATGTCTCTCATCATTGCAAAGGTGAGAAGCAATTTCGCTTGGATTTGTTTTCGCTTTTTTTTTTCTCTCTTTCCCTGTCACGCTTTGCTTACTCCACAACTATAACATCACACTGGACATAATGTAGCAAGAAGCACAGGAGGGATAGAAGAACAAAAAAAAGTCTACGCATTTTTTACGAAGTTGAAATATATAAACCTATGAAGTGTTTATGGAAAAAGTCGTCGCTTTTATTCAAAAAGAGGATTTAATTTAAGAGTATCCAAGGGAACATTCAAAAAAAAAAAAAAAGAAAACGTTTATCTGAGAAGGGTTTGTTTTATAAACGTTTCCAAGAATCGTTCAGCACAGGCGAAGGTGCAAAATGGATATTTTTTGCGAAAAAACAAAGATCAAAAAAGAAGTACACGCGTTTGTATAAATATGTATTCATAGCGATGAGCGACTTGGAGTTTTTTTCGCCACGATTTTATGCTATATGTTATATGTTTTTTAATTTCGTTTTGCCTTAAGCCTTTTTCCTCGGTCGGGTTTTGTTTTCACGTGAATGTATGATGTATATATAAACCCATGCGTGCGTATATACATGAGCTCGCATATGTTCATATGATAAATACGTGTAAACGATTCTGTACCAATTCGTATGTTTATTTTTTCCCCTTTTCAATTCGTTTTGTGTGCGGCTAACAGTTCCAATAAAGCAATTGTTTTATGGCTCTGGAATTTGCGGGAGAAGCAAAAATTAAAACATGTTAACATCGCCTCACCATGTGGAAAAACGCTTAAAATTACATGTTTTAAAAATGCTGTATGGCATATTTTATCAAAATGATTAAAAAAAAAAAAAAAATCAATTTTATTTTTTTTATCATTTTGCTGCAACGAGGAAATATGTTAAAAGGAGGAATACTTTTGTGACAAAAAAAAAAAAAAGTAACTTAAAAAAAAAGGAAAAAATTGTACATACGCTTTATGCGCATTGTAGTGTGGTTAAAAATGAGGCCACCAAAAGGTTCATGTAACAGGTTAGGAGAATTACGAGTATAAAATGAAAAAGGGGAAACTTCAACTATCAGGCGGAATTATGTCGTAAGGCATGTGTACTCACAATGTGTATATTTACGTAACTAAAAAGTTGTTAATCTGTCTTGGCGATGCTATAACTGAAAAAAAAAAAAAAAAAAAGCGGGAAGAATGGATAACTTCCAAGGCACAGCCACATTATTCTTTCAATTTTTGAATTCGTTTATTCCCCGCTTAATGATCTGAAAGTAGAAAAAAAGGGAAAGTGAAAAATTGTAAGTGAAAACGCAAAGTGAAAGGTGGAAATTGTGAAAATTGTATCCCCGCATACTCAGCTACCTGCCTTGACGGGCACGCAAAGGGGGCGAACGGGTATACGAACAAACAAGCATGAGCGCAAACGGATGGACATACGCACGTGCAAATCACCACGCTGGGTTATTCTGTAGGGCTCTCAACAAAGGGCCCTCCCGTTTTGGAGAGAAAAAGTAAGACGCAGCGATATGCAACTATGCTGAAAAATTCACCACGTGCAAAGTGCTACACGTTCGAAGTTTCCGCTGACACCCCCTTCCCCCTGTGTGTGCACAACATAACGAAGGTCCACCTGCTTCGGGCGTTCACGTAATTACCGATGAAAGAAGGCAGTCAAAATTTTTCGCCGGCGTAAACATCTTGTACTCATCCAAATGTATAATGTTTTTGTTTTCCAGATTTTTTAACTCATTAACAGGATCGCACATGTGTATGTGCTCGAGTTCCTTTTTATTATGAAAGTAACGCGTCCTACACCTGTTTCTATTATTTTCTTGGTCAATATAATTTAAAATTCTGTGCATGGTTTGGCTATCTATATCTTTGATATCCATTATGCCTGTTTTGATAAATGGCTTTAAGATTCTGCTAAATTTTTTGACCCACCCGTTACCATCGATTTCACCATTTGCTGTAATTAATAACAAGTATGGCTCGTTTTCTACCCTTAATTTATCAGGAAGGTAAAAAAAACTCGTCAACACCCTCACCTTCAGTGAACTAGACATATATAAAAATCGCTCAGATATATATTTGATTAATTTGTTGTTTAATAATTTCGATGCTTGAGAAGATGACCAATTATTTTTTATACACTCTAAATATTTTATGTACTTGTCACTGATTTCATTGCTTTCCTGTTCACTTGTTGCTTCCTTTTTAGCTGTCACACCCTGGGTGCCATCGTCCTCCTTTTCGATCTCGCGGCCGTTATCAGAGCAGCCTTCTGCGGCAGCGTCTTTCTCGTCGTCAGCCTCTTTTGTCTGTCCCTCCGTTCTTTTACCCTCGTCCATAGAAGTCAGTGTATCGTCTTTTCTCATTTGTCGTGTCGAATGGGGATACTAGTACACACGTGCATGTAGGCGCGCAGGGATAAATATACCCACGTACATATGTACATATGTATGTCCCTTTTTACACTGACCTATATAGAAATCGGCACGCATGTAAGCAAATACAGACTTGCACAAATTGTATGAGTTGCATCAGGTTGGGTAGTGCTGAGTGTCAATTTTCTTTCCACTACCCTTTGCAAATTATCTTGTGTTATTTTGTAAATTTTAAAAAAAGGAAATAAAATATCATTCCATTTCCCCCCTTGCGTTAAATTCCACTCCGTTTACAGTTCGATTATTCGCCCTTCCTCTTAAAGCATTTTTTCAATTTGAATACTTAGGTCATTTTTTTCGTCACACGTTTGTAATGTTCATTTTAATTTTCTAAGTGAATAATTTTAGAAAGTGTATAATAGAGCAAATCAGAGTCCATTTGTATGAAAAATTTTTACGAAAAAAAAAAAAAAAAAAGATAGCACATTGTAGTATAGTTTGCTACAAGAAAGTAAAATTTAACTGTGCATATTTTAGTGAAATAGTTTTTACAAATTTTTATTTCACAAAGAAAAACTTAAAAAAAAAAAGAAACATCTCATAAGATAAAAGTTTTTAAAAGAATGATGGTTCGAATGATGGTTCGAATGATGGTTCAAATGAAGGATTAAAAAATAAAAAAAAACGGACATGCAGTGGTTACCATAGGAAAGAGTGACTCTTTAAAACCTAATGTATATAACTGCGGGAACAATTTCCCCTGCTAAGACATGTCGTATGTTGCACCTTCTATGAAAGCGATACACACAGAGGCGAGCGCTTCTCTGGAAGCGAAAAGGAGCGTTCACGTGTGTGCGTATATATCTGTGCGTATATATGTGTATATATGTACATATCTACCTATGCACGTGTGTACGTGCGTTACCGAACGGACATAGAAGAATATGACATCATCATTTGCAACCATTTATCCGGTCGCCCTTGTTAACAGCGCGTTCCTGAAACGCAGTGATGACACCTCTCTTGTAAGCTACTCCGTATTTACCCCCTCGTCTTGTCCGCAGTTTCAAGATTCCTGACTGATTACAACCCCATGAACGCGGAAAATACATGGGGAGTTTCGCACTTGTAAAACTTCAGTGAACAAGAAAAAAAAGAACACCTATCTTGATTGGAAGTTTCGTACCATTTCTGCCCAACTGCATAGGAGAGTGACACATTTTTCAAACGCTTAAAAAATGAAAGATGCACTGAGCCTGTTAAAAGCACCTTTTTTTTTTGCACAAAAATGAGTAAACAGACACATTTAAATTAAAGATTTACAAAATGAAAAAGAATACGAGAATGAATTTTGGTAAAAAGAACAGACAAAATTAAAAAGGAAAAAAAGAGTTGCTATTTATAACGCTGTAGTTACTGTTGTTATTATTAATAGATTCAAAAAAAAATAATTACATGAATAAATTAATACGTGATTGCAGTGTTACGTTATTACATTAAAACATTATTATGATTTTAACAAACATTGTAAAAAAATTAAAGCGACAAAAAAAGGTTATTAAGACATGAAAAAAACATTTTTTTTTTCTTTTTATATCTTGAATTATGTTACAATTACGCATACATGTAGAATGGTATTGCGTACAGGATTAAAACTTTTAAAACGATTAATAGGTTTAATTTGAATTCAAATATGTGTACATACGACATGGTAAAAAAGAACATAATATTGCCAAACGACTGCTCCTTCGTTGGAACGTCACTTGAAATTTTTGTCAAACAAAGTTGTAAAAAAAAAAAAAAATAAAAAAAAAAAAAATTCACCTCTTTTTGTCTTTCACTTGTCTGTACAATCAAGCAAATTGTACTTGCACACAAGATAAATAATGGATCCCCAGTTTCTTTCCCAGCACAGAGGCACAATCATACGAGAGACACACACAAGCTCCAGCCTCCACCTTCAGCTTCCAACCAAATCAGGTGTGAATTATGTTGTAGCAAGAATTGTTGTTGCACTCCGAATTGATATAATTTTCATAGTCATCCTCCTGATAATTCCCATCGCTATTATTATTGTTCAAATTATTTTCTTCGTAGGTTCCTTTTTTAAATGGCAATACATTATTGGCGGTACTCTTCCCATGCATGTACGTGGTGGAATCGCTAAGGTAGTTGTTATCTTCACTGAAGTAAAAATTTTCGGACTTGATTGGCGGGGTTTGATTGTTCGTACAGTTATCGCTAGCAGCGGAGTAGTTATTCTGATCTTGAAAAAAAAGATTGTTCATGTAATTATTTTTCATCTGGATATCATCAATGACGGTATTGTTTACGTAATACTCACTGTACAGATTGTACAGGTGGTTAATGTCCTCCACGTTCTCCATAATTGGCATGCTGCCGCTGTCGTTACTGTTGTTGCTAATGCTGTTCCTGGCATCGCTCTCGACGCTGTTCATCGTTCCGTTCATCGCGTTACTCATGACGCCGTTTACGCTTCCCCCGTTCTGCGAATGGATACCACTCAGCAACATTTTGTTATCCAATTTTAGATGGCTGTACAGGTTTTCCCCGTGGTAATCCTTCATGTCGTTTTTTGGAGCGGAGAAATTTTCATAGTTCTTTAATTCACTGTTACGTAGAAGAAAGTCCTCATGGTTCGCATTCAGCTTCTGCACTGAGGAGTTGTTGCTGCTATCCAAAATACTGGGAGATACAATTTTGCAATCCATATTCGAATTAAGATATTCATTGCAGTTTGTGCAGACGGTTATAAAATCATTAACTTTGTACTTCCTCTCATGTGCACACCCCTTTTCTTCACTATCTGAGTTAAAATTATACACACAAAACATGTCGCTCACGTTATTTGTGTCTTGACTCATGTCATTCATTTGTGGCTTGTACGATGGAGTAGCAGCCATTTCTTCACCCTTGATCTTTTCATCCATTTTTGTCATGTTTAGAATGTTTTCATATAAGTTATACTCACTGCACAAGTTGTTCCTAATGGGCGTGGCATTTTCCTCCTCCTCGTTCACAAAAATGGGTAATAGTAGATCCTTAAGCAGATTGTTGTTTTCCACCTTGTTATCTTTTAAATATCTCCTTTCATCTTCACATGAGAGTGCGGTACTGTCATAGCCTTGCTGCTTCTCACTTGTCAGATCATCCTCTTTATTTGCGAAGTTGCAAAAATTGCTGACTAAGTTTTTTAGATAATTATGGAAAATTTCCTTCTGCGCATCTGATGCTTTATCCGAAAGGACGTACGCGAGGACGCCTTTAAATTCGTTGCTGAAGTACTGGAGGTTTTCGTTCAAATTGCACATGTTTAGCAATTCATCATTTTTTGCAGCCGCCATATGTTCGCCATTATTGTTGCCACTACCGTTGCTGCCGCCACCAAGGCCACCACTGCCACCATTTGCGTCATTTTCATACACACCGTTTTCAAACCCGGGGGGATCCAAGCTCCCCGTGATGTTACCGCCCATGTTGTTATTGACACCACTACGCAATTCGCAACCGGTGGGGACATTCTTCACGTTTATATGTTCACCTAAATTCAGGTTAACCTCCAAGTTGTACTTATCCTTTTTTCCCATCAATTCGTTCGAATATCCAAAGTTGCTACTTAGGTGACTGTTTCTACATGGGTCACTATTCATCGAATTTTTTCTGCCCACATTTTTGCTGGCCATAATTTTATTCGCCATATTTTGGCTCCGTACATTTTTATTCATGGAGTCCTCCATGTCGTGGCCTTTTCTCTCTGTCATATGTACGTTAAACTTGTTATCAACCCCACTTAGTCCATTCAGCATGTTCATATTTTTACATTCAATTTCCTTTTTGTCGCCCTTGTTTTCCATCACAACGTAGTTGATGCTGTCCTTACTGATGGGGGCACTTTCTCTCCGCTCGCCTTCCACAGATTCGTTTTTGCTAAACGGGTGCTCGATCATGTCCTGGTATAACCCACTCGGGAGAGACCCGCTTTGGTGCAGCACATTCTGGTGAACGCCACTCTGATACAAACCACTCTGGTAGGCCCCATTTGCGAACATTTTCCCCGCGTAGTTATCATACGAAGACATGTTGTTATCGCTGCACATTTCATTTGGGCTAAACTGCGCTTGGTTAAGTTCGTGCGAATTATAGCCGCTATTCGTGAATCCACTGTCTCCGCCCAAATGGCTTGTATAATTCTCATTCAGGTTCATATCACTGTCATCCATTTTTCGATTTTCCATTACAGACTTGTCAACAAATTTTCCCAAAAGCGTCTCGATTAGGAGATTCTCGTCCACATTCTCCAAAAGGATATTCATATCATTTTCGCTAATACTAAGATTTAATTTCTTCACATGTTCTTGTATGAATTTCTTCTTATCAAAATTTATATCGATGGGTAAAACTTCTGCACTGTCTTTATTATCCACAAATTTTTTATTCGTCATTGGATCTGTAGTCGCGTTCATGTCGTAGTTTACGGGGTATTCCTTGTTCAGATGATGGTACGTGTTGCTTGTCATATTGTAGGCGTCGTACAAGTCCGTACTACTCACACCACCGTTACTGCCGCTGCTATCACGGTTGGCACTGCCGCTTTTGTTATTACTACTGCTCCTATTGCCGTTGCTATTTTCGCCAAATTGCGCTACGACGGGTTGGTTAAAATAGCCCTTATCATAAGAATCATCATAGTAATCGTTAAGATAGTAATAGGGATTCTGATAATACATTTTTCCAACATTGCTACTTGGTTTCCCCTCTTCATTGGCATACTTTACATCGTAACAATCGAGTGTCGCACGACTGTTAATCGTGTTGCACTCTGGTAACTTTTCGCTGTTCCGGCTTTGTCTTTCATCCGGGTGATTAATTATGCTTTCAATTATTACGCTTCCGTTTTTATTAACCATGTTGTCCATCAGTATGTCATCGTTCGATTGATGAATTTGATATATTTGGCTAGTCGGGGAACTTTCATCATACAGCATTGTGCACATAACTGTGGTACTGGCCGTCGTCGCGGTAGTTGTCATGGCTGCTGTTGTCGTACCAACTGATGCACCGGATGTAACGGCAGTCATTGTATTGGCGATCGAAGCATTTTCCGCGTTATTCAATTTGTCACGTGCAGTTGTCTTTTTCACCTTCTTTTCCTTCTTGTTAAGTGGCGGTCTTCCTGGTTTTTTCTTTGGGCCCTTATTCGTGTCCCTTTTTTTGGCATTTCCATTAGTACAGGGGGATATTTTGTTCAACTCCGTGTCCCTTTCGGTGTTCCCTTGTTCGTAATTGTTTGTAATATAAGAAACGCCTACAAGCCCTTCATCCATTTCACCATTTAGCTCTAGGACATTATTATAGGAGTTTGACGCACCGTCGCCCGTTTCCGCGATGGTGATGTGGTAGTCCTTTATCTTGGCGGAACTGTCGTTCTGCCCCTTTTTCTTAGAATTCAAGTGGGTCCTGGCGCCGCGGGGTTTTCTTCTACCTCTGTTGTTGCTACCTCTGTTGTTGCTACCTCTGTTGTTGCTACCTCTGTTGTTGCTACCTCTGTTGTTGCTACCTCTGTTGTTGCTACCTCTGTTGTTGCTGCCTGTGTTGTTGTTAACTGTGTTGTTTTTGCCTGTGTTGTTGCTGCCTGTGTTGTTGCTGCCTGTGTTGTTGCTGCCTTCGCTGTCGTTACCTGCGTTTCCGCTTGCGCAGAGATCTCCTCCGTCAGGGGGTACGCCAACAGGGTTATTGGGGCCATGGTTGCCACTATCAATGTTAGAGCTGATGATTTTTGCTCTACCAACGCTGGCACCACGCACATTACCTCTAGCCCGATTGCCACCACCTCGACCCCCTCTCTGACTGCGTGCGCGAGGTTTCTTGTTCAGAACGACATCCTCGTAGGGAATTACCTGTCCCACGGTTGTGTCATTATCTACGCCCCAAACGAACAGTGCATCATTCGGACTGCCATCAACACCACGGTTGCCGTTGCTAATTATGTAATTTTCATCAGCAAGTAATAGACCTTCGGTCGCTTCGGAAAGCATGAACGAATCGGAGCTCCTCATTTGGTTAAGTGCATCATTAGTTTCGCCATCGAGGCAACTTTCCAAATTGTTCGGATTATACAATTCGTTGATAATAGCATCATGGTGATTTATCGTTATGTCGCTGGGAGAAAATGTTGGGAAAATTTCATTCCTGATTAGTGACAACCCATTGAGGCTGTCCCTATCGGATAATTCCTCTTCATCCGATTTATTTTTCTTACGAGGATGTAGGTTATATTTCTTTTGTAGAAGCTCTGGATTTTTTACTAATCTGAGGCATAGTAATTTTTTGGACCATTCACTTCTAACCCATGTGTTTCCTTCTTTGATGAGAGTTTTCCATCCACACTCGCATTTCATTTTAACTTTAGTTCCATCATTGTTTAGCCACTGACTCATGTACATTTTCTGCTGACACGAATTACAAATTATTACGGGGACGGGCTTTTTCCACCTTGGACTTCTAACCCAATTATTATTTTTTTTAAGAAAATTCTTAAAACCACATTTACATAACAATTTCACTTTCGATCCAATGTCATCAAGCCATGTGTGTACCCACATTTTGGAATTACATTCATCACATAATATCTGAGGTGCTTTTCTTTGTTTAATGTTTCCTCTTCTGGACCAAAACAAATCCGTTCTGTCATAGTTTCTACTTCCACATTCGCATATCATAATAATTTTCGTTTTATCTTTATCTAGAAATCTGTTTGTTACTAGCAATTCTTTACACTTTGTGCAGAATATATAGGGTGCCTTTGGTTTCCTTTCATTCTTCTCATCGGAATAACAGTTGGTGATTTGTTTCCATTCATTATCCTCTTTGATACATTTAAAATAACCGCAAAGACAGTAAAATGTGATCTTACAATAATTTTCCACTAGTTGGTTTTCTTCTACTAATTCTTTGTACATACTGATTTTGAGGTACTTTATTCTTTTTATTTTTTCAATAATGCCGGGGTCTTGTTCTAGGCTTTCCTTCACATCACTCGTGTTTTTCGCTTCCAGTGTTTGATCCATTTCGGGGTCATCACTTTTCGGTGGGTTCATTTGCTTCTCTTCTGATGCACTCGTTGCCACATCTTCTTCGCCCTTCTTTTCTCTCAATTGGTTGCCGCGACCACAAGGGGCGATAATCGTGTGGGCACTCTCGTCATCGTTTCGTCTGTCGCTTTGGTTATTTTTTATGGGGCCATTTTGTGTAGCACTTTGTGGTTCAGTCTCCGGCCCAGTTTGTGTAGAAGTTTGGGGGTTATTCTCTGGACCATTTTCTGTAGCGCTTTGTTGGTTATTCTCTGGACCATTCTGTGTGGCAGCTTCTGGATCATTTTCTGCACCACCGTGTGGATCATTTTCTGCACCACCTTGTGGATCATTTTGTGCACCATCATGTGGATCATTTTGTGCACAATTTGGTGAACCCCTTTCAGGACCATCCCCGTCAGCTTCTTCCTCCCCCGTCGCTGCAACCTGCACCAACTCATTCCTTCCACTTATCTGAATTTTAAACGCATAGAGGCAGTTGGAGCATATCAAATTTTTCTTCTTTTTCTTAAAAAGCGCTGTTAAGTTGTCACTAAAGGAATCGTCCTCAATGGATGGTAAGTTCACATCATTAATGGACGTTAAGGGATCTATTCCGTGGTATATCTCTTTATTCCTTTTGTAGTAATCCTCTAAGCAAATTTTTGCTTTTATTTTTTTTTCGAATGCTGTTTCGGATTTACTTTTCTGAGCTCTAAATAAGTTCACGCTTCTTTTGGGCTTCCTCTTCAACTTAAAATCTGTTTCCACAATCACTTTTGCGTTTTCATAGACAGTGGCATCATTTATAACCCCCGCAGAGCATAAGACTGAATCTGCATCTCCATGCATTTCTTCCAATTTAATATTCACACGATCCGCCGTCAGATCATCCTTCGAGTGATCTATGACGCCACATGGCTCTTCACTTGGCATACTACTATTTACTATCCCGTAGGCCATCTCAGTTTTACACATCTTCATCACATTTGAGTGGAAGTTATTCTCACATATGCATTCATTGTTCCCCTCTTGCTTCACTGAAATGAATCCCTTTTTCGTGCTGCCCTTCTTTCTACCGCTACGCTTTAAGCGTACGGGTTCATTCTCTGGAGGCATATTTTCAAGATTGGGAATACCCAGGCAAATGCCCCCTGCTTCTCCATTTTGTTTACTTCTTCTGGAGGTACCGCTTTTATTTTTAAGTTTATAGCTTCTTCTTTTCCTCGGAATTTCGCTTACTGCTTCACCATTCTGGATGGTATTATCGTCTTGCGTGCCTTTAACCTTCTTGCTTCTCCCCCTTCTCTTGACGTACTTCTTTTCCCCGACCCCGTCGTTTCCGTTTCCACCGGTATCGTTTATTATATTGTTGCTGCTGTTAATGTTGCCCCCGATGATTTTGCCGCTCATGATGCTGCTGCTGGAGGGGTCATTTTGAACGCTTCTCCCAAGGTTGTTGATGCAATTTCCGCTCACAATATCGTTGTTCGCTGCGTTGGGGTCCTCCTGGACTTTTTCTTTCATGTTACCTTCGAACGTCCTACTTAATTCGCCCCTCAGTAACTCCTCATAGGAGGAAAACAGGTGTGCAATTCCGTGATTGCTTGATGTATAATACGTGCGAGAAATGTTCTGACTTCCCTTCTTCATGCCGGAGCTTGGCGGTTCGATATTGTTAATTCCGCTACCGTTGTGGTTACCGTTGCCGTGGTTGTCTTTTATGCTGCTCACCGAATCGCAGGAAAATGTCCCCTTCTTAAATATATCATCCTGCTTGGCGAACAATTCAGCGGTGCCTATGCGCACAGTGTCGCTATAACTAGCGCGATTCGATTCGTTCAGTTCGTCGTATATTTTGTTGCCCTGCACTTGAAACGGAGTGGCTGAAATGGGGTTACCTGTGTAGGAGTTATTATTACATGCACCGCTGGTCATGCACTTTACCCCCCCCGGGTTCTGATTGGGAAAACTATTGCACCTGTCGCTCGGGAAAAGGTTGCTCTTGTAGTTGTTACTTCCGCCGTTGGTTCTGCCGTTAATTCCGTCGTTACTTCCTCCGTTACTTCCGCCGTTACCGTCGGTGTTGGTACTTGGCACCTGTGCGTGCTCATTCACTCGTAATTTTTTGTACCTCCTCTTGGCAGTACGCTTGGGCCCCTTGATCGCTTCCCCCTGCGTCGTGTACTCCGCAGTAGCATTGCCATCCGCCGGGAAAGTTACAACACTCTCGCTACTTATATTTTCTCTACCTAAAGATCTTCCAATTTTATAATTTCCAGAACCGTGCCTCTGGTGGTGTACTCCATTTTCGTTGATAATATTCTCGTGGTTACCGTCTCGATAGATGGCACTAGCCCCGATGACGAAATTGCTATTCTCCTGATCATCCGTCAAATGAGGCGTAAAAATTAGCTCCTTATATTGGCTATCGAATATTACGCTTGTGCTTTTATTGTGACTACGCTTGTGGACGCTCCGCTTCCGCTTCGCAGAGTCTCCCTTAGCGAAATTATTTTTTCCTACAAGTTCTGCGTTGTCCATTGAACCTGGCTTCCAGCTTTCATTCTGCTCGTTATTGTTCTTGTCGTGTGTTACTAATGACTTGTCAGTGCTCCCCTCTTGACATTGACCTGGATTCTCGTTTTCCTCGTTAGCAATTTTTTTAAGCTTTCTTTTTCTCTTAAATGGTTTGTTCATTTTAATCATTTTTTTATTTTTTTTCTGAAAAAATGAAAGAGTTGTGTACAATTCGTCGTTTTCCTTCATGCCGGTAAAATTTGAATTAATGCTCAGAAGCAATTTATTTAATTCTTCTTCACTTATGTTCAGTTCTCCCATTTTGATGTTCCCACCCTCTATCTTGACGTTGTTTATGTCAAAGTTTTTTTCTTCATTTATAGAATTGGTGTAATTATCCTTCTCATTGTTGTTATCACACGGTATGGAATTGGTCGGTTGCGCATTACTTTCCACTGGGGCGTTGCGTTTCTTCGTGGCCCTTTTATAACTCCGTTTCCCCTTATTAGAGAGTTTTTGCTCGACGTTGTTCACGTTACAGTTCGGTCCCTTATCATTTAGTCCGTTACTGATACTTACGTTTAAATTTTCCATGGAACGGTAGGCACCTACATTTTTCGGATCTTCGCTATGCAGAAATTTTTTATGATAATAATCGGACGCTTGACAGAGGAGATTATTGACGACAGCCCCATTTTCTATGTTCTTATTTGCTACATAATTTAAGTTCTCTCCGTCCACGGATACGTTATAGAGCTTGTCTAAATAGTCATTTGTGATGGAATGATTTTTACTTTCCTTGTTCTTGACTGGATAAATAAAACCGTTGCCTATACTTCCATTTTTTGCATCCTCCAATGTTCTTTCGTTGCAGACACTGTCACGGTAGACATTTTCACTCACATCACTCATGTGTCCTTTTTCACTAATCATATTGTTATAGTGTGTCGAGAGGAAGATATTCTTATCATTCGCATCATTTTTTCCATTTTTTTTTTTGTCCTGAATGTTCATGCCATTTCCGTTATCCTTTCGATTATATTTTTTACTCAATTCTGCCACAGGAAAGGTTTGCACTGGGTAAGGAAAATTCTTCTCTGTCATTCCGTCAGAGCTAAATTTTTCATTGTATACAATTGGTCCGTTATTTATTTCTTCGTTTATGCCAGCTGTGTTCTTGGATGCTTCGCCTTGCGTCATCGAGTACGGATCTTCTTTCCTCACTTTGTTTTCTATCCGATTGGTGTGGAGGTTGATGGCGTCCTCACTTAAATTGTTCATGTTGCTTAGCGAGATGGCATCGTTCAGTGCGCTTACACCGCCCATTCCGTTTATACTGCTCATTCTGTTTATACTGCTCATTCCGTTTATGCTGCTCATTTCGTTTATGCTGCTCATTTCGTTTATGCTGCTCATGGCGCTCATGTTGCTGAGGGCACTCATATTGCTCAGTGCGCTCACGTTGCTCACAGTACTTATGCTGTTCGCCGTGTTAAGGGTGCTTATCCCGCTAAGGTCGCTACTCCCTCTAACCCTGCCTGTGCAACCAACCCCGTTCCTATTACTCAACGTGCTGGTACTATTCACGCTATGTGTGTTGTTCATTGTATTGCCCATGTTCAACCCACTGGCATTGTGCAATATATTATGGTTGGTACCTGAAGTCTGACCTTTCAAAAGGACAGATTCGTCACTAGCCGAAGCGTAGAGATCTCCCTTATGGTGGCAGTCCATGTCTACACAATTCAAACTATTTAAATTTTTATCCTCTGCGCGCCTTTTCATGAAATTTATGTAGCTGGAGTTTCCCTTATCCGCAAGGTGACTTATCTCCTTAACGATTTTTCTTTCCATTATTTTCTGTAGCTCGGTGCATTCTCCTAGATTCTTCATATGGTCAAAATCGTTCATACAGGTGGGGTTACCCACGTTGCTTACGCTGTTCATGCCGCTCACCCGGGCTACCGCCTCGTAACTCATAGGACCAACGTCTACACTCATATCAAAACTATTTCTACCCATGTTACTTAAATGGTTGCTTTTGAAGGTGTCTCTCATGACCTGCATATTCGAAATGTAATCATTCAGCTTATTTCCACTTACATCGTTCATGTCGTAATAGCAGATATTTTCAAATTTGGTTGGTGTCTTTTCATTAAAGGGTTTGTTATAGATATACATGGGGGGGTCAGTGTTATTTACCTCGTTCTGCATGTTACTTAGGCTGAAGGCCACCTTCTCATTCCCAGAATATTCTACATTTTGCCCCTTTGCCTCATTTCCCCTGCTTCCACAGTTTCCGCTACTTCCGGTGTTTCCACTGATTCCACTGCTTCCGCTGTTTCCACTACTTCCCGTGTTCATTTTATACTCATCCTGTTCACAACTCTGTGCCGTTCGTCCAATAAGAACATTTTCAATCGGCTGCCTCCCCGTGCTGCTGGCCTCCACAGTGCTCCTCTCATTGCTATTCGCACTGCTCGTCGAGGCATATGTGTTACGATTCTCCTCACAAGAAAACATGGTTGACATTTGTTGCGTACCATCCTGGACAATCTCAAAATTTTCTTTACTCTTAATACCATACATGGTTAATAACTCCCCAGCCTCATTACTGGTGTAGAGATACTTCCGTGTTTCCTCTATGTCTTGGGGCATATCATAATTTGTCAGATTTTCATTCCCTTTCAGTTCTCTATGCTCCCTCAGATACACATTATTATTAGTTCCATCTGGGGTGGATAAAATTCCATGAGGTAATTCTCCATCGTTCTTATAATCCCACTTCATGGGGACGATTCCATTTCTGTTGTATTCATTTTGGAACTTTATGGGGTCGAAAGAGTTATTCAAATTTGATGTGCTATCAGTGATGTTTTTTTCTGAAAGTTCATGGTTGGTATACTTCTCTTCTGAGTCTTCGTTTTCATCATATGACGTTATGTAATTTTCTATGGCTTCACCTCGGCTGTCTCCGTTTCCCCCTTTGTTCTTCGCGTCGGCATCATAGCTTATACTTGCGTTGCTATGGCCGCCGCCGCTAATACTACCGTTGCAGCTTCCGGTAGGACTCTTCATGGCACTGCCACTGCTGCTGCTTGTCTTGGAGCTTACTCTTGTTTCATCAAAGTTTGTCTTATATAAGCAATATGCATTTTCAGGTTGTTTTTGCTCTACATCCATAGTTTTACCTGTTTTCTGGGTTATAGTTTGATTCGTATCACTTTTCCTGTTTCTACCTTCTTAGTGTAATGTGGGCTAAACAAGGATTCCTACGGGACGCTTAGAATATGTGACACTGGTGTCGGCTTCACACTTCTCCTTGTTACGTTTTCTTCTTTTCCTTTGATTATCTTGTAGTTTCTGTTTTTTCTTTTTTTTTATCGTATGAAACTGTCTTCCTGTTTTATTCTTTTCTTGATTTGTGATCCTGCTGATTAGCGGTGTTACTTTTTTTTTTTCTTTTTTCTTATTTTTCTCTTCCGGTGTGAGGAGGTGTTCGACATTCGCCTCTTCCTCTTTGACAAACTATGCAGTTGCATACCATCACATTTCAAATAAGAAAATTGCAATAAAACACAAACTTGTAATGCGTTCGCATATCCATGTAGTGACTCAAATGATACATTGGTAATTGGAATCATGCAAATATTAAACATAAAAAATGGGGGAAATTTACATGTGACTAAAAAATAAAGCGTTTAAAGAAAAAGAAAAAATATATGATTCCTTTTTTTACCTTACCAATCTTACATACCACTGGAATATTGCATTCCATATGGAAATTCAAAAATAGAATTTTTTTACTTTTTTTTTCTAATATTTATATGAATAGAGTAAATACGCATAGAATAAATTAAAAAAAAGGCGTTTATTAGCCATGTACTACTTTTGTGACACTTGCCAAATGTAGGTACATGATACGAAATGAATACTAACAGGTGTTGGGTTTGGAGCACTGGGTAATTATGCGCGCATGTAACGTTGCCAAAATAGCGCTTCCAGGTACATAGGACTCGTGTTCATAAAGATTTTGAGGCACTAACTGGTAAAGTACGTGGTGTACAGAGTAACATTAAAAAGGTTACAAATTATTTTGGGGGGGCAAAAATTTACGTATATAAATATATGTACAAAGTTGAGTGCATTTGGAGAAAAGGAAATCGTAAATGCTTCAGGCGAATGCTTTAGGCGTATACTTTCATACGTACGCTTCAGACGTGCGCTTCACAAGTACAGTGCGAACGTACATCCAGATGTACACTTCAAAATGGGTGTTTTTTTTTTTTTTCGCACAAATGTTTGAATACATAGGTAGGGTATGTAAACGGTTCGAATTTATCGAATGTATACGAACTTACGTACGCTTATGCGCACCCATAGATGAAGATGATCAACGCTTAAAGGGATGTCAAAATTGGGAATTTATTAAAGCAGCCTGTACTGGCATATAAATGCGCACGAATTGGGGGGATGAAGATGTCGGCAAACATATCCAGTGGGTATGGATGGGTGGAGGTACACGTTGTACGTTAGCACGTCACAGGCGGCTCGCTGACACGTTGACGCGTCGCAACCCCTGCGCGCTGCACGAATGTGGGATGCATACACGTATGCATACAATTTACTCACAAAACAAGGAAAATAAAAACACAAATATAATTAACGCTTTTCTGTCAATCTAAATCGAATGCTGCAAATGTAAATTGAAAACACATATAAAGGTTCCAAGGGAGTTTAAATATGAATTAACGAAAGAAGCTAATTTACAAGGTCATATAAATGTACACGTACGTGTAGGCGCTACATAAATGAATCATACAAGGGTAAAATAAACTTAGGCGTGGATACGCATACATAATGAATGGGGTATAATCTGATATAGCACGCGCAAAATTTTGACATACTTACATATTGTATAGATGCATATACAACATATATTATAGCCAAAGGGGTAATTCAAAAAAGCTGGAATATTAATTAAAAACATACATAAATTTGATGCATAAAGTTGATGCATAAAGTTGATACATAAGGTTCATACATAAAGCTTGAAATATAAAGTTCGTGAATAAATTTGAAGATTCCTTCAACACCTGTAGCAGTTGTACAATCGTTTCAATTGGAAAAAGAAAAATTTGTCAAGGTAAAATGCAAAATATATTTGCCAATTTTTTTTTTTTTTTTCATTTGCGTACCGTTGTAACATCCATTTATGTAGCTATACTATTCCTCTTGGATTTTTACCCCGTAATTTCACCCGATGGGGTACCCGATTTTTTATGTGGCTGCTTTGGCTAGTGTTCAAAATAGGCGTACTCACACTGCATAGGGAATTATGCGCATAATATGCGTACGTACTTGCACGCATACGTATTATGTACATATCTGCACAAATGGCACATATACAGGGAAAGGTAAATATGATGCCAAGTTCCTCAAGTGCAACTTCACAAATGAGAGTGACACAACGTAACAGTTCAGGTGAATAACGTTTGGGGAGTTGGCAAATTAAAAAAAATGCAAGAAAAGTATGACATAAGGAAAATATACGCGGACGTCATGTACATGTTATACAGATACACTGAGATATAGTAACGGGAAGGTGAAAGGCATAAAGATGATCTTATCAAAAAAGGCCACATAAAAAATGTTGACATTTTAAAAAATAGTTAATTGATTTTACTTTTAACAAACAGGTGTTGCAAGTAAATAATAAATTGTTCAGTTCACGTCGTTTAATGTGAAAAAAGGGTGACGTAATTATTTTGAATTATCACGGCGTGGCCCGTATGTCATACCTGTGTGCGGATAAGTTTATATATCAGTTGTGCATTAACATGTACACGTGAGCGCGATTGTAAGCAGATTTTTTGCGGTTCTTCGTGTTACTATCACGGGGAGTTGTTTTTTTTTATTTTATTATTCTATTATTTTATTATTATTTTTTTTTATTTTGTATCCCTTTTTTGAGTTGTTCAAAAATGTAGAAAAGGGTTTTGTAGCAACAGAAGGTAGGGGCAAAATGAGCATGTGTGATGTCAAGGTGAGGATTGGGTGATCGTCCCAGGTGAGCTGCTTAGATGTATATTTTTAGGTGCGCTCAAAATGCACATTAAGTAAAAGCGCAAAATCGCTTCTGCGCCTGTACGTAGCTCCTAAACGTGCCGGATTACATTTTTCCACAGATGGGGCAAGTACGCAAACGTATTAGATAAACATAGCTCAACTCTTTTCTAATAATTTAAGTGAACAACTCGACCACAAAAGGAGTTTACCTTCAAAATGGCTTACATCACGTATACTTCTTTTTTTTTCCCCTTTTCGACAAACGCTTTCTCTTAAATGGGAAAGTTGTGTCAAATGCAGATACATACCTGACGCATGCTCAGACGGTATATATATTTTTTTTATCAGTGCAGGTATTAGGTATATATCTTCTAAGTGGACATTTACAAAATAGAGCTTTATACATTTTACATGATAGAAAAGAATCTATCCCCTCCCAGCCTTACACAGTCGTACCCTATATATACAAGTGCATTCTTAACATTCCGCTTAGGTGAAAAATCTCAAAAAATGAGAAAATGGTTAATTACCCCCGGTGAGGTACCCAGCGAGGTTACCGAAATGGAACTCTCCCGACCTCTCTATGCATCAAAAAAGGGGTATATAAAACATGTAACCAAATAGCGACAATTCTTCACACAGCACATGACGCTTATGCGTAGGTTCATAAATAAACACGTTTACACATCCGTGATGGTGGTAGCGAGTGCACGTGCATTCCAGCATCAGGCTATATGATGCAGAAAATGTAACCCTCGTTCATATGGGTCCCTCCTATGGTGAAGACAGCACCCCACTTCATCCTACTTATATAACACCACTAGCCTAAATACAAATTCATTTTTAGTTCTAAGTGGCGGAACGGCAGAAATAAAATCCTGTAAAACTAAGTAAAAGGATTATCTATCCAAGGCTTCAAGACAAGCCACCAACTTAGTGAACTTTCCTCCACAGTTTGGCACATTTTACCCATAAAAAAAAGCAGCGTTATGCACCGAAAAGGGAAATTCGTAAAATTGCAACGATGGGGGAGGCATATGTTATAAGCCAAAGTAAAGTACATAATAAGTAGCTGGTTCTCTTCTCGAGACAAATGTTCCGTGTATAAATGTTCTTATGCCACAGGTGAGGTTTACGTATATAGAGAGAAGCGATTTGCTAACGATGCGTTTCTACACCTCTTTAAACGGGGGTAAGAATGCTTGGGTAGTCAACAGTCATAGGAAGACAATAAACATAAACGTAAGTTAACGAAACGATTGCAACATGTGTCGTATTTATACAGACACCCGATCGCATAGAGGACATATTAATTTTGAGAAAGTGTCTATATTCACCAAATGGACTCCTATGTAGGCCACGTTCAAAGAGTATGTTTGACGACGCATAGATTTGATTGTTATGTGTGCCCTTTATCTTCAAAGTTAACTATTTGTCCTGGTAATAAAAGCAACTTTTTAACTATGTGATCAACTGCGCGTATGTCATACAAAGAACTTAGCTGTAAGGAAATTAAGGTAGGTTTTCTTGTCCCCATTTTTTTTTTAACCTCCTTTACTTATTGTTGCATTCGTGTGTGCATGCGTTGGCAGTGTTTCTACCAATCTGGCATTTTCGAACTACATCCCCGTTCACATGGCAAACCAACAACACACATGCTCCATTTTGTGCTTTACGCATCTCCATTTGTTACTTTTGCTGTGGGTGATTTCGCGCTAGCTTATGCTTCGAAGGTGGCAGCATAATGGGCACCTTTCTTGCGACTAGTGCTTCAGCCGTTTCAGGTACACACATACATACACACACACACACAGGCGTATTTTTATTTTTGTAAGCTCCTTACGGATGTTAAAAGCACAGTTCAAAATGATCACACTTTCGTCACAAATAAAAGAAGCCTCTAAGAATGCCCCACGTCCGGCAGTACGTATCGTCCGCGTGCCACGATACGGAAAGGCGAATAGAACAATATGCTTATGGTATCCCAACATGTAAGAAGTCTTGGCTTGGGACGTATTTACTCAGACACAAGCAGCTGTTCTTAAGTGTTACAAAAAGTGGGGGGTACGAGCATTTTGTAGTAGGAATAAATTACCACGCAGATCGCTGTTTTGTGTTAAATTCCTTGTGTTTGGGTTTCTTCCTCCCGAGTTCTGTACGTTGTACAAAAGCTGAAGATAACTCTAAAGGGGGATTTAACTCTCTTGGTTTTCTTAGCTTTCGTGGTTTTCTTAGATTTCGTGGTTTTCTTAGCCCTCGTCGTTTTCTTATTGTTGCCTAATTTTTACCCTCCCCCAATCGTAGATCTATGCGCGCTGGCAATCACTCTGTAAGGATCTCCTTAAAAAGGCGCCTTAGCAGCTAAATATGAGTGCATCATAAAGAAGGTTAAAAGAGGTTACCTCTTTCACCAATTCAGTGCGAAATATTTTGAAAGCAAGAAAAAGGAAACTCTTTTTACGTTAAAAATTCGGAAAAAAAAAATATATTTAACGCATATTGAAACCCTCCTGACGAAATAACTTCTGCCACAACGGCTGCACTTGCTCAGCGTTATGCGAGCGCCGTTTAAATATGCAACAGCATAACCCAAAAGGTGAACCTTTCCCGAGAGATCGTTCCAAGTGAATCACTAAATTGACAGTTTTTTATTCCATTTATTCGCTTTTATAAGAATCTTTTTGCTAGTGTTTTTTTAAAAAAGAAAAAAAAAAAAAAAACTATGTACGGTTCAACA